CAGGAAAGTGCTGGGCAAGGAATATTTTCCATTCCCAGGCAGCCTAACTTGCTGTTTGCTGCTGTTGAAGCGCTTTAAAAGCAGTGCCTGTAGGTGAGGGTTAGAAACTGCTGTTATGTGGGTGATAGAGGTACGGTGCCTTTACACAAGAAGGGAAGGTGGCAGTAGTTAGTTAGCAGCTCTCTCATTCCATCCTGCACAGGCATCTGAAGCTCCAGCTTTTGGGAGAAAGGAATTATTTAGATCTGAGGATCTAAGATTATTATTCAAGCCTGCCTGCCAAAAAAAAAGCAGATAAATAAAGCTGATACCCTACATCTTCAGAATCAACAAGACCGACAAAAAAGCATAAAAAGGCAGCCAGGGAAGAGGGGGTTGGTGTGGTTTTCAAAAGAAGGGTCAATGAAAATGTACATTTCTGCAATTATTAATGTAATCTGCGTTTGATTTGGAATTGTGCCCCTTCAAATGTGGAGGCTGGGAACACTGGGTCTTCAAGCAGCTGGGAGAAGAGGTGAGGAGTAGGAAAAAAGAGAAGAAAATGTAGTCAGAAATCAGTTAGAAAAACCTGTGGTTCAAGAACACGATATCTCCTCTGTGTTGTACACGGTTTGGGTTTTTTTTAATGTACCAGTTGTTTGAAAATTTGATACAGCTTTGAATGGCTGTGCTTGGGAAGAGCATGAACAGCCTTGTAGCAAAACTGGCCTGTAAACAGGGTTGATTTAGAAAGTTCCGGCAAGACCAAAGGAGGCTAAAAATGATTATTTGCCCAAATAGAAATGGTTGTTCCTGGAAACCAGTCCCCTCAGCTGAAACACCGCTTGGGCCAGATGTTGAGGGCATTGGATACTGCAGAGCTGTCGTGTAAGGCGTGGGCTGGGGATGCCAAAGTGCAAGCAGTTGGGTGATGTTAACGCTCTGCTGCTGCCCTGTCGGTAGTGCTGATTTAAAAAAGTGCTTTTGTAAGACATAGTTGATGGTATAGTAACATGTTTAAAGGTAGGCAAATATTAACTAATCAGGAATTTACTTCCTTTATGTTAATCGTGAGGTAAAAAAGTCTTACTTGTTCAGTAAGCAGTAACATCTTTTTTCAGTATGTTTGGTGTGTGCAAGTAAACTTCATCTGCTTCAGGTAATTAGCACGGCATTAGCACAACATGGCAACTAGTGTTTAATCACGAGGTAATTAACTGTACGGTGTAAACATAGCGTGCTGCAGAGCTAACCACAGCCATGAATTTCTAGCTGATCGAAAATAACACATTGGAAATGTTGTTTGGGGGCGGGCAGAGTCGTTAATATTTTTCTCCTGTGTTGCTGATTATTGATGCACGATTAGTGCCAAACGGGCAGAGGAGAAAGGGTCAGACGTTCTGGGCTGCGTCGTGTGCAAGCGCAGCTCTTGTGTGTTGGGTTTTTTTTGGGGGGGTGGAGTTGTTTGTTGGTTTTTTGTGTGTGTTTTTTTTTCCCCTTCCTTAGTGTATAGCGTTGTAATGGCTCAATGACCTGGAAGATGTGTAGGGTTTTTTTGTACTTTCAAAGTTTGGTTTGCTAATCTTGCAGTTTCACAAGTGGTACAAAACTTTTTAGAGATGTGTGATAGCTGCTGATGCAGCACTAGGAACATGGAAATAAGAGTTGGATGCATATCTTGTCCAGTAGTGTGCATGTTGGTTTGGTTTGGTTTTTTTCCCCTCCCCAAAATAAATTTGGGTGCATTTGCCTAAAAACTTGGGAAATTTGCTGTTAGAACTATGTGAAATGGAGCGGTGTCCCCAGGAAGCATGACTTCTGTATGCTGCTGGTTTCCAAGTGTGCTAATCACAGAATCACAGAATGTTAGGAGTTGGAAGAGACCTTGAAAGATCATCCAGTCCAACCCCCCTGCCAGAGCAGGATCACCCAGACTAGGAAAGGAAAGAGCAAGTTTCCTACCAAATGTACACTCGCCAAGTTATATACACATATCACTGATAAATGCATAGCTAAACTTCTGAATAACTGAGAGTTCTTACTATTGGGGTGATTAAGCACTTGAGCTACAGATGTGGCAGGAAAGGTCAATCTGCTGAGTCCTCAGTGGGCTGGAGGTTGCAGCTCCATCACTGAAAGGGAGTTCTCAGTTCAATACTGCTACTTCAATTTGTCAGGTGGATTTTGGGGAGGACAGAAGAAAACAGTTTCCTGATAAAAGCTGAAGCCAGAACCTGATCTTGAGGCAGAATTTTGTCTCTTAAGTGGTTTGTCACAAAAATGGTGAGGTGTGAAGTGAAAGCTTGACTGGGTTCTGCAAGCTGCTTTTGGTTCTGTGAACCCAAACTGGCTCCCTGATGTATACAGCAGATCTGGGACTGAAAACTGAAATTAAAATTTCTGGAGGCTTTGCATGAAGCAGGATGGAAGTCCAGCTCCTGTACAGCCAGATTGGGAAGTACACAAATGCTAGAAGAAGCAGGGAATAAACTAGCCAACAGTTTGGGAGCCGTAAAATGGACAACTATTCTGAGTAGGAAGTTGTGGACGGATACTCGCTTCTGTAGCAAAGCTGGGTAGCAAAGATCTGCTGTTATAAAATGTTTAACCCAGCTCGTCTCACTGACAGGTTAAAAAATGTTTACTTGAACAGCTCCATTAGCAAGTGTAAAGTGCTGCAACCTTCAGTAGGAAGAGGATGACAAACAGGTGGCACTGGGTAATACAGTCTGATATCACAACTGTTTGTGAAGTGCACATTTCTTTGCCACCACGTAGCCATTCTTCTGAACTGCTCTTTAAACGTCAGCAAAGGCCTCTCATTAATTCAGCTTGACAGTTTGATTACAGCATTTTAACAGCTTCTGGAAAATAATTCTGTTACTGAAGTGGTAAACTCGCTGTCTTGCCAATGAAGATAAAGCACTGCCTCACAGCCAGAGAGGCAGAGCTAATCTTGTAATTCCCAATCCATCTTTGTGTATGGTCACCGGTGCCTCGGTTTAAATGCGTGATATTTCATCTCCATGTAAATATATTCCAGGTCCACTTTCAGGCATCAATAACATGTGGATATAATTGATGTAAAAGGCAGGTGTGTTGGTGTATCTATCAGTGTGCACTGATCTGATCAGAGATTGGTGTTATTGCAGTATTGGTGAGAACAGTTGCCTTTACTGAAATGTCCTTACACATCCTTGCAGCAGAACTGCTAGCAGTAATAAATTCTTTGGGTATATCCATTATATGAAGTAAATCTCAAACATGCTGTATCTGCAGAAGTGATTTGCGTCCTTTTGACAGCAGTTTGATACTGCCCGTCATTGAAGTGCTTCAGGCTACTTCATCTTGCTGTACTGGGGTTCTGCTAAAATACATTTGTAAAGGGTCTCTGGTCCTGCAATTCAGGAGGATAACTTCTAAAATTAAATTCTATTCAAATAGGCTTTGTTTTGCCTGCAATTATTGGACTGTTGTGTGTACTGATCACTTGTCCATAGCTTGCAAAACCTGGAAAGACAAAGACTACATCGAATCATTTAGGTTGGAAGATCGTTAAGATCATTGAGTCCAACCATAAATCATGATAACACACATGATAAAACACGATTTAAATATCTACTTCCTATAGACCACTTCAGACACATATATGAGAGAAGGTACTGACCCACACATGAAGACTTTTATGTATTTCTGACCTTACTTTGAGTTTCTTTTGCTTTATTTACTTCAAAGAAATAAAAAGCAGTAATTATTGTATGTAGAAGGAGCTGGGAGTTGGGAGTGAAGCATTTCCATGTGCTGGGATGGGATGGGGCTTCTGGAACTCAGAAGTGCTTCTAGTGGGGAGAATAGGAAGGTGGTACTCAAAGATGAACTGTGATTGCAGAACGCTTGAAGGCAGTTTTAGCAGCACAGCACTTCTTAATATTGTCATTTTGTGCTGTGTGGAGATATGTTACCTGGCAAACAGTAACCTGGATCTGTAATTTTGAGCTTACGTATCTTCTGCTCGTTGGTTTTTGGGTTTGGATTTTTTTTTCCTTCTTTCCTACCTAAAATTGTGTCAGGTTCTTCCTTCAGAGTCCTCCAAGAGAGTCTGGTAATGCTCTCCATTTCCATCCATGATTACAGTTTGTTCTGAACACATTTTTCTCTGTGTCTTTCTTTGAATCTGTTCTTGTATTCAGTGCTACTCAGAATGAAGTTGTTAAGCAGATGTGAAGGGGATATTAACTAAAATATAGATATGTTTTATTCAATGAAATAATTCCACAGCCAATTTCTGTAGTAACAGCCCGTAATCTGACTAGACAGCTTTAAATTTACTGTCATGAAAGGTATTACAAATTAAGATGCTGTAATTTTCAGCTGACTGACCTGTTGCCTATAACCTGTCTCTTGTGTTTGACTTAATGCTTGAAAATAAGGATGTTTGAGGAGGGGAAAAAACGCATTTAACATAGTATTAACTTCTCTTCACAGACTCTGAGACGTCTCTGGGACCTGCAATGACAAGTCAGAACAGTAGCCATGCAGAGAAAACTGGTGAAATGTCCTCAAAGCAGTCAGCACCAAAAGTGCAGGTCCAACGATCTGTCTCTCGAGAAACCATCACTATTCATTTCTCTGCATTTGGGAAGGAGGAAGAAGAGGAGGAAGAGGAGTTTAAGGAATTTCTTGATGAGGAACTAGATGACCAAAGCATTGTAACAGCACTTGAAGCCAAGGAAGACCTCTGCTTTGAGCATACCGGCCATGATTTTTCTGGTCCAGCTACCTCGCTTAACATGGCCAACTCTGCATCACTGCTGTCCTCATCGCCTGTAGTTCTGCCAACTGCAGAGTCCGTAAAGCTGTTGGACTCTCCTTCCCCACCCCAAGTATTCAGTGCGGTGCCACTCGTCCTGTCTCCGTCATCACACCCATGTCCTACAGTTGGCTCATCAGGTGCACCACCACCTGTGGAACAGAAATCCAACCCGTCGTCTTCCCCGTCCTCATCCCCTTCCCGATCAGTTGTCAGCTGTAGTGGATCATCCACAGTCTCCAGTTCAAAGCCTTTTAAGGGTTTAGTCAAGTCCCTTTCAACAGAAGTGGAACCAAAAGAACCCACCCCACCGATGCGACACAGACAGTTAATGAAAACCTTAGTGAAATCTCTGTCTACAGACACTTCCAAACAGGAACCCGAAGCTGTGTCTTACAGGCCACCCGACTCGAAACTGAACTTGCATCTGTTCAAACAGTTCACTCAACCTCGAGCTACCGGTGGCGATTCTAAAACTGCCCCCTCATCTCCATTAACATCTCCTTCTGACACTCGTTCCTTTTTTAAAGTACCTGAAATGGAGGCTAAAATTGAAGATACTAAACGACGCCTTTCTGAAGTAATCTATGAGCCTTTTCAGCTGCTCAGTAAAATAATGGGTGACGAAAGTAGTAGCCACAGGCCCAAAGCCTTATCTTCAAGTGCTTCAGAACTCTCAAACCTTTCCAGTTTGAATGGCCATTTGGAAAGCAATAACAACTACAGCATTAAGGAAGAAGAATGTGATTCTGAAGGGGACTTCTGTGGAAGTGACTCTCACCTGAATAGGAACGATCAGTCAAAAGCGGCTGAGGAACACGCAAAAGAGATGGAGACCAAAAGCTCTCAGTCTGCAAGCACAAAGGACGTGAGTTCGAAAACTTCACTCGTACTTGAAAAATGCTCGTTGTCTGCACTAGCAAGCAGAGAGGATGAGGAGTTTTGTGAACTGTATTCTGAAGACTTTTCCTTACTAGAGGATGAAAGCAAACCTGAGAAACCCACTGAAACGTTGCCCGATCCAGAGATGACCGAGGAAAATGGTACTATGCTCAGTAGTGAAGATGAAAATCCAGATGTGCAACAGCCTAAAATACCAGTGAAAACTTTGTACTTCTTCACACTGTTAGTCTATGCTTACCTTATTATCCCTCTCCCTGGCTACTTAAGTGGACTCTTATTTGGAATAGCCCTTGGATTTATGATAGCTGTCTGTGTGATTTGGCTTCTTACTCCGCGTACTCCCGAGTATCTCAAATTGCATAAAAGTATGAAAAAGCGATGGAATACAGGAGCTCTGGACATCAAAGAACCCGAAATTCTGAAGGTGAGGTCATGGCATTTTGTGTGTGCGTCTGTGCGTTATTTTGGGTAGAAGTGGTAAACTAGATTTGTTCTGGGTGCAAATGAGCTGAATTATCCCCATTTGAAAACAGAGTAGTAGCATCAGGTGGCTTTGGCGAGGGCACGAATGGTTCAGTATCCAGAAGTATGTAAGACTTCAGTGTCCTTAAGGATTAGCAGAAAAACAGAATTGCTTCAAAAGTAAAAGGGCAAATGGTTTTGCTGATGGATCTGAAATGATCCGGCTGAACTACTGAGAGCAAGTAATGTCAGAGTTTAGTGTGTGAAATAACATTTGTGCTTGAAGCTGCATCTTGGGAGTTGTATTTTGTTTCTCTGGTATTTTACTGTGTAGGCAGTAATTTGTTTGTCTTGTCTGTTCAGTCTGAGAGGATTCAAAAGCATTGTGTTCACATGAAGCATAGATAGTTGGAGAGCACACGGCTTCTCCTCAAGCACTGGCTAACTAGAGCGGGAGGAGGAATGAGTGGGGTAGGGGATGTACTCATGGGTTGTGATACCTGAGGTTCTGCCTGCTGATGTCTTGAATATTGTACTGTGGAATATGAATGTTCAGTAAAATGTGTCCCTGAGAGCTGGGTTTTAAATCAAGCTCTTAGAAAATGTGTCCTCCCTCCTCTTTGCCCTTTGTCGTCTCCGCTTCTTACTCGGATACTGCAAATTGCTGTCACCTTGGCACGATGCTGTCTGTCCAGATGTGATCCATGCAACCACTCAGTTACTTCAGTGGCTTTGTGCTTTTTCCTTGTCCCTGTCCTGCCTACAGCTGTGATTAATTAAAATGACACTTTCCCAATTGCAGAATTCTGAACAATGAAGCATCTACAACTTTCTGATGTGCAACAGAAGCATTTCAGAATGACAGTGGTATGACCTTCACTTGATATCACCCGCTTATCAGAGTATTTGTGAATGCTTTCTTGCTGTTGTGAAGGCAGGCTGAACACTCCTGTCTGCCCACTTGGTTTACCTGCTTACACGTACAGATTTTCACATACTTTAAGTTTGATCCTTGTTAATTGGGTGCTGAGACCCTGCCTGTAAATTTGCCTTGAGGCTTGAAAGCTGGTGAAGAACCTGGTATTCATGGTTGGCTGGTGTCAAGGTGGCTCTTTGAGGTGTTAGCTGTCACTCAGGAACCTTTAAGCTGTATTTTAATGTGTTTATCCAGGAGATACATTTTATGAGAATGGCTGTAGGCAAGAAATGAACTGTGCAGAGCAGTGTGTATGAATGTACCCAGTAAGTATTTGTTATGCTCATTAACACACAAAGTAATTGTCCTTAGTATGTAAAGCCCTGTAAGAGGGTTTTTTTAATGCTTCAGGAGTCTAAAAACCAACTCAGTGCCCATATTTTAGTGGAGCATAATGTAACATGATTTATCAGATTGCAAGTTATCATTCCCCCCTCACACAACTATTTTCTGTTTGTCTCTGTCCAAATCAGCACTGGACGGTTTAGATCCTCTGAAAAACGAGATAAAGATGTAATCTGTAACACAGTTCACGTGAATATATGAAATTCAGACTTGCTGTTCTCACATAAAGATGCTCTCTTCGGAGCTTGTTGGGCTCGTATTGGGGCCTGAACGGCTCTCACGCCATAATGGTAAATGCTGTGAGTAAGATCCCATGGCGGGGCTCTAGGAGTTGGGATTCGGTCAAGCTGCTGTCGGGCTGTTTTTGTACACAAGGACGTGTGCATTCTCCCCCATGCAAACGTTGTTTGAGAAGTCTGCATTTCCCTGGTTTCAGCAGCTAATGGAAAATTCCCCACTGGAATTCGGCAGTTGCCGAAATACCTGAAAATTAATATTGACTCCCCAAAAATTGTTCCTTTGCAATGCGAAAGAATGAATTGCTGTTGTGCTGGTTAGTGTGTGCTTCTGTAGGTTTCTAGACCTATTTCACTCAAATGTCTTTGGTATTGGAGGGAGAACACCCTCCTAAACCAGAATAAGTACACAAATGCCCTATGTCTTCAGTGGATGTTTTCTTATCCCCTTAATTTTCAGTTCTTTACCTTCCTTTTCCTTTTCTCTTCACACGTTTTTTTTTTCCTTCTTTAATGCATTAGTCTTTTCTAACTTCTTTATCGGACTTCTCAAGTGTGCATCCCCTTGTGTTGTGCTGGCTGGTACAACCGGTTTTAAGTAACAGCTAAGATGGAACTGATAATCTTACCCCTTCCATTAGAAAGAACTTTGATGAGAAGAAAGTGTTGGCAATGCCTGCTGGAGAAGTGAAGTTTCTTGAGCCACAGCTGTACAGAAAGAGGAGCTTTTTTACCAGCCTGTGCTGTTCCTGTGTATCACCCAAGGGATTTCATGTTCGATAGTGGCCTCTTGCAGATAAACGTGTTTTCTTGTTAAGGTGGTGGTTACTTCTGCTCACCTTAGACCCTTTTTGTCTTTAGATCTGCTGTCAATAAAAGCTCAAAAAACTGCATTACAGTTTTCCTAATTTATCAAGCAAAATACTGTTGCAGTATTATAAAATAGTGCTAATGAGAGGAATACTGGTATAATGTGTGATTTTAGTGATCAACAGTCTTATAAGAATCCTGGTCCTGGAGCATTTTATTATGTCATTTAATGATAATGGACATTAATCAATCTGTTGATATCACTAAGAAACTCTGGGGGCAGTTTTAATCCAGATTTGGGCTTGTATTGTGAAGTTGACTTGCTGATTTTTAGTTATGTATTTGAAAATATCACAGAAGCAATGATTATGTATTTTTACTTGCAGACCTGGTCTGTGCCTCCATCCCTCCAGGTCCTTCATAAGTCCTTTCGTAGTTCCTGCAACCTCCCCTCCCAGGTTAAGGCACAACAGGCCTGAGATCTTTAAATAACATTACAAAGTTGATACTCGTAGGCCTGACTCTGTGGTTCTTACTCGCGTGAATTCTTCTGTTGAAATGCAGTTTGAATGAAAAATCTGCAGCCCTAAGTCATGGAAAAGTGAATGGGGGTTGGTGTTTTAAAGCCATTTTATTGCAGTGCCTGTGCGTTCCTGGAGGGCCGGGTTGGTCGATGGCTGCTGGGACAGAGGTGACGTCCTCCACGCTCAGCGCCTGTTTGGTCTCTGCTGTCCAAAACAACAGCCCAGAAACTCTTAGCACATGGGTGGGCTTTTGAATAGCAACTGTGTGCTCCGCTATAGAACCACGCTGCCCTTTTTCAGGTTGGTTACCCGTCTGATGGTGAGGCACTTTCTCCCAATTTCAGCTCTGAATTCAGAGCAAGTGCTGACCTTTATAAATGGAGATCACAGGATCCGTGCAAGTGGCGAGCAGCTGCAGAGCAGCATATGACTGCGGTCATTGTCCTCCCCGAATTACTGAATTTCTTCTTTTAACAACTTTGCTTCTACAAAAAAGACCCATCATACAGTCACTCCTCTCCTACAGAAGGACATCCATTGTTGTTTCAGTAATTTGGGAAAATTTCTCTGTTGCTAGCGCGTTACGGTAACGTAACTTCTCTGTTTAGATGCATTGCAAAATGGTTTCCGTAGGCTGTGAGTCTTTTGTTCCAGTGTGTTTTTGCAAAGAGAGGGGTGGAGGTGTTTCTGCTAAAGTTGTTCTTAAAATGCAGAAACTTTGGAGTTAATCTGGGGGCTACTTGGATACGACCCTCAAAAATGCTTGTTTTTTTTTTAAGCTAAATGAAACAATTTACAAAAATGAAAATTGCTGCAATAAGAAGGCAGATGGTGGTGTTTCCCCCTTTTACCCTGTTAGATATGGCAGGGGGGGAATTCCTGCAGCTGGCACATGTTTTCAGCTTCATTAATAGAGTGAAAAGTCATCATTTGAAGTATTAACATTTTACCTTCAGCCATGTCATATTTCTCCGTGTTGCAAAATAACTTGGAAGTTGAGTGCAAAAAGGACACAGTGCACCCGTAGAAATCAGGAAACCAAAAAAATTTATGTATGAGGAGGGTTTATAGTAATGCTGTATTTCATCCTGACTGTTGGCTGGGTACTGTCTGACAATAAAACCCCAAATATTAGAATTTAAACTTCTCTATCTTTTGGTTTGGGGCTATGCCTCAAATACCTGGAGTGACCAATCTCTTCCTTGTATAGAAATCACCATGTAGGCTGCTGGTTTAGGTGGTAAATGTGTTCATCTTCTGTCAGCTCTGGATATTGAATGGCCAGTACCTCAGGCAGCTGGAAATCATGAGAAGTCTTGGTCAGGTTCTTCAGTCCCTACAAGCCTGATGATGCTGTGCTGTGAGCAGCAGCGTTTGCACTTACCTTGGGTTTGTTACATACAGTATGGGGGGTTGAGGATTGTGTTTGGCAGATTATCCAGCTAATCCGTTTGTTTGAAGTGGAAAGCCTGGGCGCATGGTAGGGATCAGAAAAGCGGGTGGGACTTCCCGAGGCTCCTGAATGCTGAAAGAGCAGCAGTGCTGTGTAAACCAAGGAAGCGGAGAGTCTGTTTTGTTTATTTTTGCCCTCTAAATTCAGTTTGTCTTGATTGCTGCTGTTGGAAAGAAGGTGGGGATTTCCAAAAGGGCCTCTCCTCTTCTGTTCAGTTGTGTAGGGTAAGGATATCTTCTGTCAGAAAGGTTGGCACTGGCACTGTTATAGAAGAAATGGGATAGGAAAGGTGATGGCATGCGGATGGCATGGACCCCTGTGCTACCAGAGGCTCACTGGACTTGGTTAAGTCACTTAACACAGGCTGTGCCTAAGGCTATAGCATCTCGGTACGTGGTGGAGGGATAAAGTTAAACATGGCTATAAGGGTGCTGGATAACAGTCGTATAGCTGCTGAGAAGGCATAGCAAAGTTTGCACATCTGATGTGTGTCCCAAGTTGTTCGTGTTGTCTCAACTCTCAGCTTTTCGTCTCTGAAGCTATGTTCATGGATTTTCACTTCTTACTGTGGCCAAGAGAATCATGTGTAAATCACACCTTGTTTTCATTCCTCTTTTTGGCTCAAGTTCTGGTGTCAGAAAACTCCAGCTGGTTCCACCTTGAGCAGGATGTCAAGGGAACTTAGAGTGTACTCTGAGCGTCCTTCTTGGGTACCACACATACCCACAGGTTTCCAGCTCTCCTACTGAAAATAACATCACAGCTTAACACAGTTATAAAAAGGGCTCGTGTGGCTAAGCGTCATATAAAGATCCAGTTTCCAAGTATCCCTTTCTCTTTGCACCAGCTCGTGTGGTCTCTGTTGAACCGCCTTGCAGAAGGCAATAAACTTTTCAGGCAGCAGATTTTCGTCTGCACGTTTGCCAGACTTCAGTGTCTGAGCTGGAAATAGCTCGGAGATGAGATCCAGGGGGGCAGGTGGGAGCCTCTCCAGAGATCTGAGGACCATATGGAAATGCCAGGTCTGCACCGAGTGGATGGCTTTGGGCAACTCACGTGGTGTCCTTGTGCTTCACTAAGTCCAGCTGGAGTTCCTGGCGGAAAATTAATTGCTGTCTGCTCAAAGATGTCTTGGCTTCATCATTTCTAGAAAGGAAATGGGATGTGCTCAAACATACATCAACCCTGCTGTGCAGAACCGTGATGGTTTATAGAAAGCTCTTCCTCATGCATTGTGTTTCCTATATAGTAGTTGTATATAATCAGTAGAAGTAAAAAAAAAAACCCAAACACAAAGCTTTTTCAAAGTGTATGTGCTGGTATAGGTATTTCTGTTAATAAAAGAGGTGGTCTGCTTTGGAGCTGAACAAAGATGAATGACTTAATCTTTCCCGAGTGTAAAAGAAATGCTAATTTATCTAGGTTTTTCAGGGTTCATAGTGAAAAGGGAGCTAGATGTTGGAGTAAGCGAAACATAGATATCACTGTTACTATGGCACCTAAGAAAGTGTGTGCTGTCTACTTGGAGAAATTATATGGCTCTGAAGTACGTAAGCATTAAAATAAATTTTACATTTCTGTGTGTGGGTGGAAACTTCTTTAATACATTAAAATGTTGCAGTAATTCTGGGATATTTTGCAGAAGGTAGTTACGACTTTTCTGGTTTGAAGAATAGCAGGGCTGCTGGTTCAGCTCTCCCCACTTCCCAGCAGCAGATGCTCTCCCCCATGCTGCACTCACCTAGGTATTTATAACGATGCCATTTTACTTTATGCTCTAGGGTACGTCTGTTTAAGTCTATCTCCTTTGCTTTCTGTTGACATTAATTAACATTGAGTGTGCCGAATTAAGGTTTGGATGTGCAGGTAGAAGTAATTATCAAAGTGTGTTGTAGGGCAGATTAAGAGGAGGAAAACTTGCCCTCCTTGAATGAATTTTTGGGCTTGTCTTCTGCCCCGTTTACCACCCTCTTTTATTTTCTGTAAGCAGATGTTGAGAAGAGGAGCACCATCACCCCTGTGGTTAGAGTCAGCACTCGGCACAGTTACCACAGGGCTGCTTTGTTTGCCATGTTTTCCACTGCGCAGAAATGGTTGAAACGTAATCCCCACGTGTATGACCCCTGTGTTTAACTGGCAGATACACAGCGTGTTAAATGATGGTAAAACGGTGATGGTGTCTTAAAACAAACTCCGCTGTGGTCTTCAGCACAATCCCTAATTGTTGGTGATTAAAATGTCAGTGCTGTTGGTGAGCAGACTGTTTGTCTGCCTCGACTGTTGGTGCTGAACATGTCCATGCCTGCTGCGAGCCCTTTATGGCTGCGCTGTGGCTCTTCCCAGCAAGTCTGCTCTGCAGATTTCGCAGCATTTCAAGATGAGGTGGAAGAACCCTGCACTATACAGACAAAATTATTTACTCAGAAAAACAAACTGCATGCTTGGGATCCACTCCTCATCTCGTGATCTGTCAGTTTGGTGCTGCCTCATTTAGGGTGCTTACTGTTTTGTTGAATTTGTGCAGTAAGTGACATAACTTTGGCAAAAGCTTGCATAATTATTTAGAACTTTGATGTATGTACTGTACTTGGTTTTCCAGCAGCTTAAAAGCCTGTTAACAAGTGTTTTCTTCTCTAGGGATGGATGAATGAAATTTATAATTATGATCCAGAAACATACCATGCCACATTGACTCACTCTGTCTATGTGCGACTCGAAGGAAGCACTTTAAGACTTTCAAAACCCAATAAGAATATTTCTAGGAGGGCTGTGTACAATGAGCCAAAGCCTGAAGTCACGTATGTCAGCCAGAAAATTTATGAACTTACCGAGAGCAAGGTGAGTGTGCCTTACTTATATCTGATTTTAATAGAGAATACTCGGAATTTTTTGTTACTTTTGAAATTTTTGCCCTTCTCTAGTCTCATGTGCTGTCATGTGAACAAAACTGTTGTCATGACTAACTTGCAAAAGACTATGCTGGGATGGAAGATTGAGCAGGATTTAGAAAAAATTTCATATTTGCACAGTAAAGGAAATGCATGATTTTCTGCTGTCAGTTCAAAGCAGAAGTTACCACATGGGAGTTTAGAGAATTGTTCCCCATACGTTAGATTAATGCACGACTGTTTTATTACACCAAAATGTATGATCTTTGGTGGTCATCTCTATCCAAAGGCAGTTCAGACAATGTTTGCATTTCATGTGAAGGTGGGAATGTACGTTGTATATGGATGTGACAGAGGAGAGTGAGAGGTGGCTGGAACGGACACAACTCGGTGTTGGTCCCCACAGTCTTAGGGATGGAGCTTGGGATTTTTGCAGTTGGAAGAGTGCATCAAGAATAAAGCTGGGACAGTTTTCCTACATGTTACTTGCCTCCCTAATATCTGTGAAGAGCTGCCATGTGAAGTTGATTTGTTGGCGGTGTATCAAGTAACACATCAATACCTCATTATTAAAGTAATGGATTTTTTTTTTTAATGTGCTGCATCAGTAGAGGGCCTTGGCAGTACAGACGTAGGAGGAAAATATGCTTCAACTGGCTGTGGGCGTTAGAGGGAGAGAGGGACCGAGGCGACAGGGAGGAAAACCTCCCTTTGTTGCCCTGGGTCAGTGTGGGAAAGCAGCTTGCTGTCAGCTCTGCTTTCCATTAAAGGAAGACTGAAAAAAATAAAGCAAAACCTTAGATTCCTGCCTATTGCAGATTTGTTTTCCCATAACGAAGGCAAGCAAAGCTATCACATGCCACAAGAGCACTTGACTGGCAATTGCTCTCCATGGTGGCTTAGGAAAAAATGCCACTACTTCCCCTCCTCCCGCCCCCAATTGGTTGCAAAAGTGCTGGGTGCCCTGGATATAATAAGCAAATGGTGGCTGTTCTCCAAGGTATTTACCCACAGGTTTTGGAGAACACGAGTAAGTTCAGCCCTGAGATTAGAATTTTTAATTCTTATTACTCTGCTCACTTGCATTTTCTCAATTCTCCCTGAAAATACCGAATTTAGAATGTAATTTATATATAAAGGAATAAAATAACTTCTATTCTGTGTTTCTTACATACTTGATATGACTATTGCCAACTTCAAACACTCAATTTCGTGAGGTGGGTCTGAAAAGTTGAGTTTTAAAACTCAGTTTAGAATCTCATTACGTAGCCCTTGGTCACAGAAATAAGAGTCTTGTTTTTTTCTATTCTTCGGCATAACTACGAGAATAAGATCTTTTAAATGAAAACTGACTTTCTCCACATGATTGTAGAAGTCTAAGCTGCTTGAATGGTCCTTGTTTTAATTCAAAGCCTGACAGCAGTGGAAGCTGGAAGTTAGAGACAGTTAAACCCTATGTTGTGTGACTATAGAAACAGAAGATACAACTGAAAAATGAGTAAATTTAACCCTATCATTTGTCCTTCAGATTTCCCTGGTCCCTAAGAGTCTGGCACGAAAGCGGATTTGGAATAAGAAGTACCCCATTTGTATTGAACTTGCGAGACAGGATGACTTTATGGCTAAGGCTCAGACTGATAAAGAGAACGCAGAGGAAAAGTTACCTGCTGAAAAAGTGGACTCAAACAGTGAAGAATCCAAGAAAGCTCAGGATGGAGCAAAGTGCACTAGCCAGAAGGATCAAGTGCTTTATCTCTTTGGAAGGACCGGTAGGGAGAAGGAGGAATGGTTCAGAAGGTTCCTTCTGGCATCCAAGCTGAAGTCTGAAGCAAAGAAGCCATCCAGTTTATGTGGGAACAAGCCAGGTACTCACATTTTGTATTCTAGTAAAAGCGCCTACTAAAAGCAACAAAGCAGAGTTATGTTTTCTTGGTGGTAGTTATAGCAACTGTGGAGCCATGGTGATCCTCACAGACAAATAACACTAACCACACTTTGCTCCTTATCTCGGCCTCTCATTCCCACCTTCCCACCCTGCCTTTTCCTCTTGGCTACATACTTGGCTGTATGCTCTCAACTATTCCTCCTATTTTTAGACTGTTTTATATGAATACACTATTTTTCAGTGACTGTAACAACTCTTGTAATTTTTATAAGGATGAATTGTTCAATCTTTTTTCTTTTTTTTTCTGTGCTGTTGGTACTGGTGTTAACATTTGCAGTATTAGACTGTCCTTTTATTACCCATTTCTTCCTCCTCCATCCTTCACTTCATCTCCTGTAAAGACTAGAGAGCTTTCTTATGGGTTAATATCACCAGAAAACACATTTTATTTAAACACAAAAAAGTCCTGTGCTAATATACGTATCTGAACCAATAAACATGTTAGTCGACAGTATTGGAAAAATGTTTGAAATACTAATTTAAAACCATCATCTGATATAACTTTAAATCTGGATGACTCATGCTTTTCTGTCTTTATCTGTTCCCTGTGAAGCTTTTTAAAAATCGGTTAACATCATTATTTCTGGCACACAACTTCTTGAAATGCAAATGCAAAAGTAATGGCTAATTAAAATTCTAATAGTTACATGCTTTTGACAATCTTTTTAATTGTAACAGCCTCTAATTAAATTAAATTTTAAAAAAGTTTAGTTATAGGTACATTTTAATCACCTGACTTTTATTTGCAGCATTCCCCAGCAGGGCTCTTGGGAATTCTGCCATATGTTATACATATGTGAGTGTCCATATTTAAATATGCTATTGATCAGCTGAGTTTTCCATTCCCACATACTGCTGAGTGTTGAATCATGCCAAATATTGACTAATCTGTGTTTAGGACCACCTAAATACACCATACTGGAATTTACTTTTTTTTTTCTTTTTCAAAATGAGAAAGCACTACACTGAATGTTTTTTTCCTCAGAATAAATTGTGTCTGTGAGCTAATTTTGTTCCTTTAAGTATTTGATCATACACTCTGCTATTTGACTGTCAGGTTCCTTTTCTGTTAAACAGATCTTATTCCTTTTGATTTAGGGATCTTGCCAACACACAGCAGAGCTGATAGTCAGTCTGGAGTTCTCACACACAGCCGAAGCAGCAGCAAGGGAAGCGCAGAAGAAATTGCATCCCAGCCAAAGCACAAGGATCTGGCTGGCAACGTGCGGCAGAAAATGCTTCTGGACTACAGTATTTACATGGCAAAATGTATCCCAGCTGAAAAGAAAAGCCCTTCAGGTAGTCCAGTCCGCAGTGCAGACAGCAGCCCTACAGCTGTGAAAAAGGTAATACTTTAACCCCGAAAGATGCATCAGAGGAGGTGATATGTTTTATCTCATTAAATACTACTTTAGGGATGAATTATGTAGAAAGAAAAATTCATTTCTTTAACTACAGGTTGGAGCTAAACTTTTTATGAAGTCAGTGTGGCTTTTTATGCTTGCCAGTTTCCCTTTGACCACATTTTCTTCTTAATGTAACATACAAGTTTTTAACTGATTTAGTTTGATTTCTTATCTTCCAAGAACATCTGTGTTTCTTCTGGCTTTTGCAGTGGCTTGTACCTAAAAGATTGTACAGCTGAAGGCAATATGGCTGTAAATTTTCTTCATTAGGAATGCACAGATATGTCCTAAAAACTATTGGTCCCAAAGTAACTTATATTTTATGCTTAAGATTAAAACCAACCAAAAAATTACAACAAAACTCCACAAAGTTTGCTTCCTAGTAGCAGTAAAAGGTTATTTTTTCTGTGTATGTTCTAAAGTAGACTGAACTAAAAGCATGTTTTTGAGGACCTGGCTTGTTGAAACAATTTAAGTGGAACTTTTAGTACGTGGTAGTAAAATTGATCTTGATTTTCTGCTCATTGTGGGGAGCTAAAGGCCTTCTGCCGTTCCTGGGTGCTTCTCAGCACTTGATTGGGACAGAATTGTCACATAGCACAGGTGTAAGTTGGATGCTCTTCGTAGCCATTTTTCAGTGCGGATACTGCACTATAAATTCTATTTTCAGCCCCACATTTGGCTTCACATAAGGACGGATGGATCATATGGTTTCCATTTTTTAATCTTTTAAAGCAATACTAGATGGCTGATGTGTTAGTATCATGTAGTGCACAGCAGCGTAATAGTGAACAATGTCTACAGCTCCAACTAATCCTTTGGCGTCTCAGATTGCATTTGAATGACTCTTAATAAACAGAACCTTAATACTAAGTACAACACTCGCAATGAATGGATCCTTAATGTTAAGTTTGATCACCATTCATTTAAAGGATGTAACTCATGTCATGCATCTTTGTTGCCAGGTTTTTATACAATGTCCAAAAAGGAGTAGGAGGCCACAGTGTAGCATGTGAATAAACACATCTGGTATTCACCCAGGAAAAAGATATTCCAGCCCCTGACAACCCCTGAAGCGGTGATGAATTTGCTGCTGAATCTGGCTCGTGTCAGAAATCATGCTATAAATAGAGCAGCGGTGCTGGCAGGAAACCTGCGTCACAGCAGAGGCTGTGGAGCAGCCATTGCCAAGAAATGACGTTCAGAACTGTAGCATTTACCTGGCTCCTCTTAGAAAGCTCAGTGTTTCTGCTGGCCTCAGGATCTCTGTCTGTAATACCAAAAGGCAAATTCTCCTTTCATTGCAGATGGCGTGTTTTTGCTTCGTGGAACCTCCTGGTTTTAATGAAATACATGGTAGCGTGTACACACACAAAATTATTTCAGCTGCCTTTGCTTTCATGTCTATAGTCAGAGATGCAACATCCAAACATACATCTCCAAGTGTTTTGAGACCAAAACATAATCCTCTTGGAGTGTAAACATACCCTTCAGTGCAGCAGAAGGAACAGCATGGTTTCCTGAATCCTATATACAAACACTGGAAGGAAAAATTTGTTTCCCTATACTGCATTTGTTTATCATCTGTCTGTGATGTTTCTGAATTGGCTATGAGGATGTAAGAATGGGTTTTTTGATAAAACAAAAGAAGAGTAGAGTAGCTGTTCTTCTAGATCCTATGGGGAAGAGAGAGTGTCACTACTACAGACACTAAATCTGCCCACTCTGGATTTATCTTTTTCTGCCAGAGGTTAAATTACATACAACTTTCTCATTTCATCCCCAGAGGTGAATCTGTATCTGTGTGGTCTCATTCACTCTGTTGCTTGTCAGGATGATGACAAGGGACAGGGAAGCTCATGTCAGGCCAACTGATGTAGTTGTAAAGCTGCTGTCTGTGCTCAGTATTTAGTGTTCTTAGCTACCCCAGGGTGTAACACTCAACTTCCAGTGTAAATGAGGCCTTTTCTGCCCTTAGTTTATAAATGTATAGAGCTTAATAACCTGCTCTCTGTTTTCAGTTACCAGATGCCCATGTGGAAGCTGAAGAAGAGGAACAGGAGGCCTGGGTGAATGCTTTGCTTGGAAGAATATTTTGGGATTTTTTAGGAGAAAAATATTGGTCTGATCTAGTGTCAAAGAAGATCCAAATGAAACTTAGCAAAATAAAGGTAACTAATTTGCAGGCTTGCATTACACATTCCTTATGGAGGAAAACAAACACATAGTCTTTGAGTTTTAAAACAGTATAAGAAACACTTATTTCACTCTTGTATGTAAAAGACAATAAATAAATGTGATGCAGAGTTCCAGTTCAGCTTTGCTCTCCATTTCATAGTAGGATCTCAACACGTTAACTTTGCTGCTTCAGTTTCAAATGAACTGCAGCTGGATTAACTACTTGTCTGTGAAGTTTTTACATAAAAAGTAGCAGTATTATTGTGTTTACTTTAGGGATACATAGAACTGCTTATAAGTTACGAAATCTACTTTGGGAAATAGTAGACTGCCATTAAGGTGGAGGAGATCAGGGAGCCACACTTCTGATGTGCTCCTGTTAACTTCAGACATACACTGCATGCAGGAGAGGGCAGTGGGAACGGCAGTCAGGGAAGGAGCCGTCTCTGAGATGATGGGATATAATGGTGCATCAACTGTGTAAGCTCCAAGGGTGAAGGGAGGGGAGTGAGGCTTTTGAATGACTTCTGGGTCTTCTCTTTGCATTCTGTAGCTTCTGAACAGCAGTGGTTAATCACAGGGCTGTTTGGCTCCTGATGTCTGGGGTGGAGTTTGACTGTTCCTAAAGGCAAAGGAAGATGTAGCCTTGCTGACAAAAGCTCTGAAATTTAGCTGCCAGCACCAGCTGTGAGATAGTGTTGCTTGTGCTTTGGGAAATGAGCAGTAACCTAATTCTGCCCTGGCTGTTTCCACAATCGTGGCAGCAGGGTACTCAAACGTATCATTGGATAGACTGGGAATGGGGGATGGATGGATTTTTGTTAGGTTACAGCACTGTCTGCTCACAGGAGGTTACAGCACTGTCTGCTCACAGGAGACAGAGTTTCTATCAATTAGAAATACTTACAGCAAATAGATACCCAAATAATTGTCATTCTGTGCCTCTATTGTAATACTAAAATTATGATACGGATTTAAAGGCTAGTGTGCTATGAAAGAATTTGCCGAAGATAAAAATAGCTGATAGACTTTGATATAACTGCAACGACAAAATATGTGACTGAATTTAAAATCCAAAGAAGTCTTTGATTTTTATTCACAGTAAAATAGGATTTGCACTTCATTCTTGAGCTTTTTACGTGCTTGGACTAAAAAGCATGCTGGTGGTTTAAGGTCAGCATCTGAACCTCAGCATAGTTATAAACATTCCAAGTTCAGATGCTGACTCTCTCCCTAAAATACTATTTTGAAACTGATAACTATGAATTCCTAGAATTCAAAGAAATTTGTGTAATTGCATTTGTGTTCTTTCACTGGTGGCTTTTCAGCTCAATCTCTTCTTAAGTTGAATGACCTTTTTTCTCTCAGGAAACAATGATGCTTGGTTCCCTAACATGGATTTGATTTTTGCATTCTGTTTGTTTAGTTGCCATACTTCATGAATGAGCTAACACTGACTGAGCTTGACATGGGGATAGCAGTGCCGAAGATCCTTCAGGCCTTCAAACCTTCTATTGATCACAGAGGTAAAATACACATTTCTTCTTCTGGTTTTGCCAGATTCATGTGTTCATACCCATGGAGAACAGAATTTGGATCTCTTGTTCTTGTGGGTGTTTTAATCAGAGGAAGGTATGCTTACTACAGTGATTTTCTCTAACTCAGATGAACAGTTATCATCAGACCCTTGCAAGAGTACCAATGCATGAAATTTAGGAGCAAAGAAATAAACTTTCATCACTAATATTAAAAATGTTTTGCTACTGAAATCACAGACTAAAAGCATGAGAAGGTTTGTAAGCTCTAACCGTACCCTGGTAAATGTGTGAACAAAACAGACTTCAGGGAATTATAAAAATTCTCTTGGACGTACATGACATTGACTGATGCTGCCTGTGGTATCCAGATGCTGTTGTTTGCCCCTATCTCACCCAATACCTGCAGCTCTTTGAGGAAAAACCTTATCTATAAAGCACTGGGTACACTGCTCTCAACTTCTTGAATGTTTGTTTTCCACTGAGCTTTACGATCAAAGCACATTTGAAAAAAGCAAATAGTTTTATTTTCATGAAAACCAAGAACTGTGTTTTAAGAGAAACAAAAATTAATAGGTAGAATAAGCTCATGTGCAATCCGTATTCAGGGAACTGAAACATTTCGCTGCTTCTTGACATACACTTCCCATGTGGGAAGAAATTACATTTTTAGTTGCAGAAAACAAAGTGAAAACTTGCCAAGAAGTTTGGTGATTTCTTTTTAACCAAACTTACACCTTGGGGTTCTTGTCAGAGAGTTTCCCTTTGCCTAGATTTAAGCATTTTTTGAATTATTTTCTCTGGTCTCATAATTTAGACCAAACAAAGACTGTAGTTCTAAGTCATGGGATGGGATTTAGGAGACTGCTGAACATTTGGCTTCAATTCATTGCTGACAGCAGCAGTGAGAACAGTTAACTCCTGCAGTTTCTTGTTGAGTTAAACTGTGACAAGCAGATGTTTATGGTGGGATTGGTAATCCTGGTGTCTTCTTTCATGTTGTTGAATGACACATGAACTCTCGGTACCTGAGTTTTTAAGAGCCTGCAGTGAATAATGACTGAAATAACTTGTTTTGCTATTGTACTTAAAAGGATATGTAGAAATAAAGAGATTATAATTGGAAAAGCTTGTTTTCATAAGGATAAATGTATTTGTTGGTAAGTTGGCCTATGAATAAACCACACTTGGGGGAAAAAAAATAAATCGTAAAACTTCAGACCAGTATCCAGAATGAGCACTGAAGAATTCTTTTTACAGTGTTTGAGACCCTCATTTGAGGTAGCCTTTTTTGAGGCTTTAAGCTGCAGTTACTAATGGTGATGTGCTTTGTTTCATCTGTACTTTTTTACTTCAATTATGATTATGAGGAATTTTTTTAATTATATGGCTCCTATAAGTAACTGAACATGTTAACATCAGTGTTAGGGGAAAAAAAAAACATGTTTCTGTTAATACAGTGCTATTTGAGTGACAGCATATGCTGTAATATTTACTGTACTTCTGTCAAGGCTAGGGAGCCAGATAGCTCTGAATAAGTTGTACCATCTGCCCAATTCTTCACTCCCTCTCCTTCCCCTACCTCCCTTTTTTCCTCTGGAAGATGAGTATGAATGTTTTCTGGCCAGAAGGAATTTTCCCTCTTGGTAATGGCATCCTTTGCTTAATTTGATCTGCTGCTAAAACAACATTGAAATTTGAAGCATGCCGATGCATTGGTTATCAAAAGGTCTGTTCAGCTGTTTTGTTGCTTCTGATCTTTCTGCTACTTTGTACTGTAAAGAGGCAAAATTTATATAAACTTGTGTTTGAATTATTGTATTTTGATTTAGAATGGCATTAGGAAACTGTATGAAGTAAAATAATAATGATTTGGGTTAGTAAAGAAGCAGCTTGCCTTCAGTACTGCTCCAGCATGTAACCTCACAGACCTGGTCTTTGGGAGCTGTGTGTATTTCTGTTACTATAAACGGGTGGGATTGAGACAGTGCCATTCTGATACGTTTCTGCAAAAAACAAACATTTGTTCTTTAATTAAAAAATGTGTCTTTTCTAGATCAGTGACGCCTGAAAAGTAGTTACCATTAATCTCATCCTAATAAGTAAATAAAAGTAGAATGCATTAGAGGTTGGTGCACCAGATACTGGTAGGGTGTATTGTGTGCAGCTGGAATGCACAATGCATGCAATGTCTGGAAAAGGAAGATGCATAATCTGTGCTTAGTGACCTCTGATTTCTAATCTCTGGATCACAAATACCCTACAGTCATTTTTAATTGGAGGGACTGCAGGGTGTCACTTAAGAGGCAGGACCTAATCTTGCAATTACTCCCAAGACAATTCTTTTGGTGATAGCAATAAGTGAATGGTCTGCGCAGACAATAGGATTTAACTTAATACTACATGTCTAGAACTGCTCTAAGTAATGGCCCTGTTTGCTGTGAGTCACAAGGGTGCCTATAGCTGAGTTACTGAGCAAACCTTTTCATGCTTCTCTGATACACCATTGTTGAAATCAAAAGAGACTGCAGGTTGTGATGTGTGGCAAGCGATATTGCTCTGGGATTTCAAGTTTTGCTTCATTTGGACAGCGTAAGTAATATAGAGGAGTGTCCCCATTACTGTTTGGCTTGGAGCAGCACTGTAGTAGTTCAGAAGTGAATCCCTGATTGTATGCTATTTTCTTTATCTTGATTCAGATCTCTTAAGCAGTTTAGGTGTGTGTAAGTCACACTCCTTTTTTTAGATTGTTAGCTGTACTCACTGATCAGTCTTTCCGTGTGACTTTGATTCATATCTAAACATTCAACTTTGTTCCATAAACTTAATGTAAAAAGAAGACTTGCTTTTATAAGCTTTTAATTATCTGTGAATGAATGACATAATTGGTTGACAAAAAAGTAGTTTTTCTCTTTGGAAGAAGATGTGATGCAGTCTTTTTTTAAAGTGATTGTGACTATTCTTACAGTGACATCTTTTGTTGTTGTTGTTAATTTTAGGACTTTGGATTGATTTGGAAATGTCCTACAATGGATCTTTCCTAATGACCCTAGAGACCAAGATGAACTTGACCAAACTTGGTAAAGAGCCGCTTGGTGAAGCGCTTAAAGTGGGAGAGATCGGCAAAGAAGGGTAAGGTGTTACAATGGTAGAATCGAGCAAGAGCTTTCATACTGAAAAAGTGAAGTTTTCCTTGTGTCTATGTAACTTTGGCTCTGCAATAGATTGAAAGCTGGGGGGTTTGCATATATGTGAGTGTAGAACTTGGCCTTTTCATGCAACTTCAATGATTGATCACACCATTGATAATTGCCTTTAAAGGCTTTTGTAATACAAGAATTTTTAATGTATGTTTTAGTAGGATTTTAAAATGTTCTGTGACTAAAATTTAGTTTTGTCTTATGCTTTATTTGGGGTCCTAGCTAATAAGACTGGAATATTTGAGATGCACCCATGCAGATATGGAGGTAGACACATCTAATATGCTACTACAGCGTGGTACAGCTAAGGTTGTAAACCATGTAATAGTAAACACTTGTGGAAAGTAAATAGGCTGTAACAGTTACATGAAGATTTTTTTCAATAGCTTTATTTCATCATGAGAATAATCACACCCCTACTTTAGTCTCCAGTTTTCCTCATATTCCACTTCTTTTTACCTGCTGTGTCTAAGTGAAGTGCTTCATAGGTGAACTAGTTAGAGAACACGCATTCTGGAACTTACCTAACTTGTATTTGTGTGTTCCCTCTCATTTTTATGATGTTGTTCGAATTTCATCAATCTGTCCATTTGCATTAACCTGGTGAGTGACACCTGTCAAATGTCCATCCCATCAGCTGTGCATTGGTGATTCTCTTTGTACTTCAGAAAGCTGCGCTCCCTGAACTGTCGGTGGTCTCTGATTTAGTGCACAACTGCTGCCAACAA